GGGACCGCGGTTCAATCCCCCAGCACCACATGCCAGCCAGCCCCACCCCTTGGGGGGCTGAGCTGGACACACACACACACACACACACACACACACGCACTCTCTCTCTCTCTCTCTCTCACACATAAATAAATAAAAAAATTTTTTTAAAAATTTGTAAAAAAAAATAAAAATTAAATAAAATAACATCTTTGTAGATTCTGTTAAAATGTGCAGATGAAAGTAGTTATAAGAAACAACAAAATATACATACAATCCATATACAACCTTAAATAGCATCTAGGTATAGCAATAAAATAATACATGGATCCATTTTTCTCCATCTTCCACCCTGATATTTCAGAGTATGTGTTCTGAAAGTGTATCTTTAGAGCTTGCCAGAATAAACTGTCACTCTTATATAATTTATTTGTCATAGAGCTCGTTTTTACCAAATCCCCACTTGGTCCTCAGACAGACTACAAGATTCTCTAAATACTGTTTTTTAGATGACCTTTTGATAAATAAAATCAATGATTAAAATCAGATGGCTAAGTGTTAACACAGTAGCAAAATTTGAATAGTAACATGTGTAATGTTAGGCTGGTGAGGCCTGGCTTTAATACTCTGTACTAAGAAAAGAAAAAAGAAGAAAAGTATAATCTATGCAGTTAACACAATTATTCTATATTATCTGATATTCTTCATAAGTACAGAAAAGAAAAAAAGACTAAGTTAATTTAGAAAGATAAAGGTTAAAGAAGCAAAAACACAAAAAAAAGGGGGGTCTTTTTTTTTTTTTTTTTACAAGAGCTCAGTGTGAAGAAGAGGGAATGCAGCCAAGAAACTTAAATAACTAGAAGAACAGGAATCTAGGTCCAGGGGAAAAAAAAAATCTAAAAAAAGGCTGGGGAGATGGCTCAGTGGAATAAGCGCTTCCCTGGCAAGCGCAAGGGCCTGAGTTCAACCCCTGGTTCTGGAAAAAAAAAAAAAAAAAAAAGGAATCTAGGTCCAAAGATCAATAAGCACATTTGCCAGAACTCAAAAGAAATGCTAGGAAGAGAAGATGTTGCAAAGAAAAAAGAAGAGTTCTGGCATTTGATATATATTTCATCTGTTACATATGCATCTGAAAATGAATATAGAAATACTGAGCATTAAAATTATCCACTTAGAACATGATGATATACCCAAAGTCGAATGTAGATAAATTAGAGGTGACTGTTGTATATTGATAGAGTAAATATAAATTATTTTAGTATTTACTTAGGACACAATTTTAAACTCACATCAACAGAGAAAAAAAATTAGTTCCAAGCAGTGTAATTAAAATATAGCCCAGGGCGGGGGAGATGGCTCAGTAGAATAAGCGCTTGCCCGGCAAGCGCAAGGGCCTGAGTTCAATCCCTGGTTCCATAAAAAATAAAATAACAAAATAAAATATAGCTCAACTCATACACTTACATTATCCAAAGAAATGTTTTGCCTTTTTGTAAGATATATTAAAGTTGGTTGACCACATATTTTACACATATAAATACACAAATGCAAAGTAAAAAAAATTTAGGGGAAAAAAATTTAAATCACAAGTACCACAGTTTATATAATTATTTTCTACATCTGAGGAATTTCTAGATCACCTTTATAATCCATAATGATATTAACCTTAAATCTACAGAATGTAGATTACTTGCTAGTTCTCACTATAGACTCAAGAAGCAACAGGGCCAGTAAGACAGCTCAGCAGACTAAATGTCTGCATAGGCAAGCACAGGGACAGGGTTCGATCCCTGGTACCACATGTCACACCGGCCCTGCCCCCAGGCATGCTGAGCCTGCCACCAAGACTAAGCATGGTGGCATGCACCTACAATGCCAGCACTGGGGAGGCTGAAATAGGAGGATCTCTACGAGTCCAAGCTGCACAGTGAGATTGTAACAAATAGGTTAAAAATAATAATAATATAAAATAAAACTCTAGGATTTTTAGTACTCATAGGCAACAAGAAAGATTAAATCATACAACAGTGACATTTGGTCCTGGTGCCACCTAACTCATTAGGTATCACATTACTCATTACACATTCAGCCCATCAACTGGACTGCTTTGTAAAACACCTCAAACTTAACTCCAAACTTTCACAATTCTCCAATCAACAAATAAAGTAACTCCAATCATGCCAACAATAAAATAATTTTTAATGCAATTTTCTTACCTGCCTCAACAGCTTGTCAATGGCAGACATTACCATAAGGCCTCTCCAAACAACTGGTGCAGTCTCTTCAACCAGGAAGCCCATGGACATACTACAGCAGAAATACACAAGTACAAATCAGGTGTATAAGCTGATAGCATTCTAAAAATTAATATAAAATTTTTTTAAATGCTCACCAAGCAATACCATAATTCAAAAGAGGCCTCATCTGGTTATCTGAAATAAGAAAAACATCTCTCATTTAGAAGAGTAAAGCATTATATATTATATTTATTTACCTTTTTTCATTTTCTAAATTTTTTTATTTTTACAAATAGTAACTACTTCTACATGTATGCATTATAGAATGGTCAAATTTAATCAATTAACATATCCATCACGTCATTTACTTTCTTTGTGGTAGAGACGTTTATATCTTTTAGCAATTTTGAAATACGTAATAATGTATTTTAAATAATAATCAACATGCCATATATCAGATCATTAGAACTCATTCATTTTATCTAAATGAAACCTTACACCCTTTGATAAACATCTACCTTTTTCCTGTCTACCCTCTAGCCTCTTTTCCTTGATTGTCAAATAGAAATACAAATAGGCTTTAATTTAACTTAAACTAATTCACCAAAAAAAATTTTTTTCTGTATTTTAGGGAAAGGTCTCCAGGGTGTTCAGGGTCTCACTACTAGATTGGACTGGCAGTGACTTTCCTGTTTATAGCCTCCCAAGTGCTAGGATTACAGACCCACGCCACCATGCCCAGCCTCATTCTCCATCTCAGCACACCCTGAGGGTGGGGCCAGCACAGGCCCCCAGGATTGAACACCTGGCCCCTGCCCCTGCTTGCAGGCGCTTTAATCTGCTGAGCTATTTGGCCAGTCCTTAGTTTCTTCTTTAAGAGTTTGAAAAGTATAAAAATCAAAACAAGTTGAAAAACTATTTTGAAATCCAAGACAAAGACAACGTATTAATCTCAAAAGAAAAACAATTACATATGGCCAAATATAAAAAGCATACAATCAAACATATTAACAAAGGGTTACTATATAGTTTCCTTTTCCATGTTGTCTATAGAGGTGCAACCACATTGCCATTTATACTTGTTTCCATAGCCTACTTCTCCACCATGGTAGGAATATACTTAATCTGTGACTGATCTAAAAGATTAGGATGAAATCATAAAACTCCAGCACTATTCTGCATTTAGATTTCACCTCGGGTTACTGGGGTTCTTATTCCTCCATAAAGATTCTGAAATTGAAAATTATAGGCAAAGTGTGCAGGTGTAATTTATACTATTTCTAGCTGAATTCCATTCACAGAAATCCTACTCAAAGAAAAGGCCATGGTCCTTCATTAAGAGTTTGGTGAAAAGTACACAATTTTTAAGGTTTTCTTATTTAACTTTTGACTAAAATAGTTCTAGCTCACTCTCCCCTAACCTAATGTACATCAGTATTTTCTTCCCCATAACTTTGTCAATTCTTTCAAAAACATGCATCTTAAATTTTCAGAGTAAAAACATCTCTTCATCATGCTCTGCACTTTTTCATTCTATTTTCTTCAATTATATTTTTTAAACACATAATTGGAGAAAATATTTTCTTTTGCAAATTATTTTCCCTTTTGTAAAATATCTGAATATCAACTGCTTTTTTACCTTTGATTTGCTAAAATAAATGTTAAGAGAATTTTTTACTCATGTTGAGCCAAATTTGCTTCTCTATTAAACTCAGTTTAATCATAATATACTTGTTTTATACACTCAATTTTATTTACAAATACTTGCTTAATATTTTTATGTATGTTAAGGAAAACTATAATTTTCCATTTTCATTCTGCATTTTAAGATTTTACTAGCTTAATAAAAATCAATTGAGATTACCTATTTTTCTATTATGTGATTGAGTTTGTGTAGAGTGAAAACAGTATTTTGTTTGAGTGTTGCCTTGTTAAATTTATGGTAGAAGATTTAACTACCGATTCTATTTTTCAGCAGATATGGAATAATATGTTTTTCTTTTCTTTTTCTAATTCCCTGCATGACTTTATTTTTTTCTATAATTTTATTGAGAAATAAATAGCAATGAGACAGTTTCAAATCAAATTGGTAGGATAGTTCCAATAATTAACACATTGCATACTGCCTTCCTATTGGTTATTTGTTGTACAAGATGCAAACATGATATCCTATTTACAAACACAGTTAGAACAAATCCCTCTATTCCTTGAATTAGAGAATGGAGCTATATATCTATCCTAACCACTTTGAATACAGATACAAAATAGTCATTCATCTCAATCCCCTTTTCTTGTTTAGTTCCATCATTTAAATATCATTGGTGTGTGAACTGAGCAAAATATTCCAAAAGAGTCCAGTAGTCCATAATAGTACTGAGTCTTCCACTTGACTGGCAATGTCAGAAGTTGTTGACCTGAGTCCCCTACAGCTCAACATAACAACATGACTTTATTTCTTATATTTCGTTTTTATACTTTTCTGCTGGATGGTTAAGACCAAGACAAAGCAAAAACCTATGTAACAAGAGTTGTAGCTTTTGGATCTGATAAGGTCAATCAAATCCCCTCAGGATTTATCCTGAGACCTTGTACCTCAGATTGTAGATCCTTTGTCAGTGTCGACCATGTGGATGAGTCACAGCCATTGCTTGACCAATTTGCTGTCTGTGAAAGCCTGAGAGAATGTTTTCCCTCCATGTGACTCTCCTTAAGCACACTTTACATCATTGATCACTTTCCTCTTTGGCCCATAATCTCCTTGATCAGAAAATTTGGGAATTACATGGTTACAGTACAGGTTTTCATATGTCCTGAGTCTTAACTGACCTTGGAAGGCTAGGGCCAAAATGTTGGCTTTCCTTGTGGCCCTCCTTTTTCTCTAATTTTTGGTCTGCAAACTTAGGTTGTTAACCTTCCAGAAGAGAAGCTTATTGTTATTACCATAGAACCGAGGCTGTTGAGCTTAACCTCACTATCTGTCTGAATATCAAACATCTTAGGCATATTTCTATTTTTTCCTAACTACATATTTTGGATATATATTTTCCAAAGAGATGCCTACTTCAACAAAAAAAATTTAAATGTACTGCATACAGTTGTTCAAATACATTCTTACATTTGGAAACCATGTTACATATGATTAAGTTTCTTTTTTTTTTTTTTTTTTTTTGTGGTACTGGGGATTGAACTCAGGACCTTGTGCTTACCAGGTAGGTGCTTATGTTACTGACATATCTCCCCAGCCGATAAGTTTCTTTTTATTGACAACATATTTACTTTGGTATTCTTTTCCCCAAACTCTTTTAAAATCAACTTCACCAGGCAGTCTAATTTGCTATCCTTTTCTTTTCTCTTTTCTTTTCTTTTTTGTATTTAGGACAGGTCTACAGGATCCATAGGTTCTCACTACATAGATCGGACTCGTAGTGATTCTCCTGTTTTCATTCCTCCCAAGTGCTAGGATTACAGGCAGGCCACCACGTGGTGCAGTCTCAATCATTCTTGCAGCGCGCCCTGCAGGCGGGGCCAGCACAGCACACCAGGCAACAAACCCCAGCTGCTGCACTCTGCCTAAGCAGGGGCTTTAGTACACTGAGCTATCAGGCCAGCCCTGCTATTCTTTTCAAAAAAGGCTTTTTTGCTTCTTTGGTCTGTTTCTCTACAACAGCTTAAGTTTTAAGTTCATTAATCTCTGCACTTAATCATTTTCTTCCTTTAACTTCCTTTGGGTTTATTATATTGTTCTAACTTCTTCGAGTAAATGGTTAGCTCATTCATCCTTTTTAATATAAACTTTGAAATAAATATTCACTTATCTCAAAATATAGTAAAGACACCAAAATAAAACAGGTTAATATAGATATCACCTGTACAATTCCCCTTCCACTTGGAATGGATATTTTAAGTAATTTAATATTGTTCAAAACATGGCTTGAAGTTCTACTGGGATTGGGAATTAAAACTCAAACAATCAAAAATCTTCCCACAAGATCTCTAACACTACATACAGAAATATTATTCCTACTATGCTATACAGTGCAAGGTGGCTTTGAACTCACTATATACTCTAGGCTGGCATCAAACTTTTGGTGATCTTCCTGCCTCAGCCTTGTGAGTGCTAGGATTATGGGTGGGCACCACCATGTCCAGCTCTAACTATGTTGCTTGAAATTTAACAAATGCTCACATAGGCAGTACACACAGTAATGAGTTGGTTAATGATGAGATACGCTGTAATTACTGTACAGGTACACAATTCCCTTGTTGCATGAACATCATAAAATATGTTTACACAGACCTAATAATACAGCCCATTATAAATACAGACTACACAATATTTACATGTGTAGGGGTGAGGGAGAGGGAGTGCTTAATGTTCTTTAGGTCAGGAGGAACAAAATAACATAAAATCAAATTTAAAAAAGAGAAAATGATGCAATCAAGTGACACAGTAAATATGAGACTATGAGGCTGCTGACAGCAAAACATAGCACACAGTTTTATTGCAAACTTAGAAGTAGAAAGAATAAACTCCAAAATAACAATAAAAATATATAGTATAAACTGGTACTATAGGTATTTAGTATTTTCAAGTACTATGTTATTATACATAATTCTATGCACTGCACTTTTATGCAACTGGAAGTGTAGTAGGTTTATTTATACTACAATCACCACAAGCAAGTGAATAATGTGTTATGTTACAAAGATGTGAAAATAGGTATAGTATCACTATGTGGCAGAAATTTTTCAGCTCCATTATAATCTTATGAAACCATCTCTGTATATACAAGGGATTGGGGATTTGGCTCTGCAGCAGAATGCTTGCCTAGCAAGGTGGAATCCCTGGGTTCATTTTTCAGCACCAAAAATAAAAAATAAACCTCCCTTAAAAAACAACCCAGGGGCTGGGGAGCTCAGTAGAATAAGCGCTTGCCTGGCAAGTGTGAGGTCCTGAGTTCAATCCCTAATACTAAAGGAAAAAAAAAAATCAACCGAAAAACAGTAAAATTAAAAAAGACCAAAAACAAACAAGACCACTGTATTTACATTTTGTCATTGATTAAAATATCAGCCCATGACCGATACTAAAATTGGAAGGATACTAAAATTAGCAAAGCAAATCAAGATCACAATACAATACCACCTCACATCAGTAAGAAATATTATTGTCAAAAAGATAAATAAAGTAGCTT